TGTGTGTGTGTTGTGTGTGTGTGTGTGTGTGTGTGTGTGTGTGTGTGTGTGTGTGTCAGACAGCACCATCAACGCCCTGACAAAGGCAACCGCTGGTCGAAGGCCTCCGAACACACACACTGATGAAAAGTGAAGATGACAGATGGTATGGGCTACGACGCAACACAACTCCTCTAAATTGCAAGAGACACGGTGGCCAGGTAGGCGGTGAGGACACTTCGCGGCCAGCCCAGCCGGCCCGGAGCACATACACCAGCCCCCACCAGCCGCTACAACACGCACGCCCCCACCAGCCGGCCCGGAGCACACATACAACACGCCCCCACCAGCCGGCTCGGGAGCACATACAACACGCCCCCACCAGCCGGCTTGGAGCACATACAACACGCCCCCACCAGCCGGCCCGGAGCACATACAACACGCCCCCACCAGCCGGCTTGGAGCACATACAACACGCCGCCACCAGCCGGCTTGGAGCACATACAACACGCCCCCACCAGCCGGCTCGGAGCACATACAACACGCCCCCACCAGCCGGCTCGGAGCAGACACGCGGGTTAGGTTACGACCAGCGAGCAGCTCCAGCTTAAGGTGCCTTGGGTGTAGCTTTAGCAAGCATACCTGGCTACAGAGTTCTGCCTGGTAATGGAAGAGGGGCGCGAGAGAGGAAGGAAGAGCAAGAAAGGGCAGGAAAAGGAGGAGGCAGAGGAAGAAAAAGGGACGTAAAGACGACAAAGAGAAAGAAACGGTGAGGTACAGTCATATTTCATTGATTGATGAAGATTAAACCACCCAAAAGGTGGCACGGGCATGAATAACCCGTAAGTGGTGGCCCCTTTTGAGCCATTACCAGTATCAATAGATGATACTGGAGATCTGTGGAGGTGCGACTGCAAGCTGCGTGACGGGAGATGTCTCCTGTGTTCGCCATTATATCTTTTTTGGAGATGGTGAAAGTCAAATTTTCTATCTGGCGTAGGAATTGTATAATACGTGAGTAAATATGTATCACAATACATGTGTATTCCTGTATGGATATATCTAGACACTATGGGTCCAGGACGCAACCAAGCCAAGGGAACTATCTATCAGGAGAAAGCGTCAAGCCATTACTACTATATAGCACATGGAAGGGGGGGGGGTTAGAATAATTACGGGCTCACCATAGCCCGTGCTACATGGAAGCTAAATCTAAAAGAAGAACAAACGTCAGGATAAGGATTTGGGATGGGACAGGGGGGGGGGGAGAGAGGAATGGTGCCCAACCACTTGGTAACGGTCGAGGATTGAACGCCGACCTGCATGAAGCGAAACCGTCGCTCTACCGTCCAGCCCAAGTGGTCGGGTCCGTCTCATTTCGAGAAGAGACGAGACCCCAGAGACCCCAGAGACCCCAGAGACCCAAGAGACCCCAGAGAAGAACAATTCAACAATAGCAGCTGACACGCTCCTGGGAGTTCTTCTACTCCCCCAAGCCCGGCCTGAGGCCAGGCTTGACTTGTGAGAGTTTGGTCCACCAGGCTGTTGCTTGGAGCGGCCCTCAGGCCCACATACCCATCACAGCCCGGTTGATCCGGCACTCCTTGGAGGAATAAATGTAGTTTCCTCTTGAAAATGTCCACGGTTGTTCCGGCAATATTTCTTATGCTTGCTGGGAGGACGTTGCGTAAGAAATATTGCCGGAACAACCGTGGACATTTTCACGAGGATTATGCTCCAGTATGGATTATTTACGCTCGCAAACTTTCCTTTATCACCCGCAGATAACATTCCCTCGCCTCCCTCCCGCTATAACCAATACCTGTAAGATAGGTTTCCTTGACGTGCTTCCGGGGCTTAGCGTCCCCGCGGCCCGGTCGTCGACCAGGCCTCCTGGTTGCTGGACTGGTCAATCAGGCTGTTGGACGCGGCTGCTCGCAGCCTGACGTATGAGTCGCAGCCTGGTTGATAAGGTATCTTTTGAAGGTGATTATTTGAAGATTACGACAATTCCCCCCTCACTCCTGTGTCAAGCCCGACTTCCCGGTCGGGCCGAGCGGACAGCACACTGTACTTGTGATCCTGTGGTCCCGGGTCCGATCCCGGCCGCGGCGAGAAACAATGGGCAGAGTTTTTCACCCTATGCCCCTGTTACCTAGCAGTAAAATAGGTACCTGGGTGTTAGTCAGCTGTTACGGGCTGCTTCCTGAGGGGTGGAGGCCTGGTCGAGGACCGGGCCGCGGGGACACAAAAGCCCCGAAATCATCTCAAGATAACCTCAAGATAACCCCTACTCCCACATGCTTCAAGATATCGTTTCCTAAAGCGACACAAGTTCCCGATGGAATTTACTGTAATGGTCTGTACGTGAGGTTATCTTGAGGTTATCTTGAGGTTATCTTGAGATGATTTCGGGGCTTTAGTGTCCCCGCGGCCCGGTCCTCGACCAGGCCTCCACCCCCAGGAAGCAGCCCGTGACAGCTGACTAACACCCAGGTACCTATTTTACTGCTAGGTAACAGGGGCATAGGGTGAAAGAAACTCTGCCCATTGTTTCTCGCCGGCGCCTGGGATCGAACCCAGGACCACAGGATCACAAGTCCAGCGTGCTGTCCGCTCGGCCGACCGGCTCCGTGAGAGGAAATTATTGGATTTGCTGTATTTGGCCGTGTCGGTACATGGGGGGGGGGGGAGGGGGTGACCATGGGCAGTATTTGGTCATGTTTTGTACGTGGGTAAAGAATTCCAGTATTTGGTAATGCTTCGTACGTGGGTAAAGAATTCCAGTATTTGGTAATGCTTCGTACGTGGGTAAAGAATTCCAGTATTTGGTAATGCTCTGTACGTGGGTAAAGAATTCCAGTATTTGGTAATGCTCTGTACGTGGGTAAAGAATTCCAGTATTTGGTAATGCTTCGTACGTGGGTAAGTATCCAGGTACAACAGTATCCAGTATCCAGCAGTATCCAGTATCCAGTGTGGGTACAACGTGGGTCCAGCGGTACAACAGTATCCAGTGTGGGTACAACAGTAACCAGTGTGGGTACAACAGTATCCAGTGTGGGTACAGCAGTAACCAGTGTGGGTACAACAGTAACCAGTGTGGGTACAACAGTAACCAGTGTGGGTACAACAATGTGGGTACACCAGTGTGGGTACAGCAGTAACCAGTGTGGGTACAACAGTAACCAGTGTGGGTACAACAGTAACCAGTGTGGGTACAGTAACAGTAACCAGTGTGGTACAACAGTAACCAGTGTGGGTACAACAGTAACCAGTGTGGGTACAGCAGTAACCAGTGTGGGTACAGCAGTAACCAGTGTGGGTACAACAGTATCCAGTGTGGGTTCAACAGTAACCAGTGTGGGTACAACAGTAACCAGTGTGGGTACAACAGTATCCAGTGTGGGTACAACAGTAACCAGTGTGGGTACAACAGTAACCAGTGTGGGTACAACAGTAACCAGTGTGGGTACAACAGTAACCAGTGTGGGTACAACAGTAACCAGTGTGGGTACAGCAGTAACCAGTGTGGGTACAACAGTAACCAGTGTGGGTACAGCAGTAACCAGTGTGGGTACAACAGTAACCAGTGTGGGTACAGCAGTAACCAGTGTGGGTACAGCAGTAACCAGTGTGGGTACAGCAGTAACCAGTGTGGGTACAGCAGTAACCAGTGTGGGTACAACAGTAACCAGTGTGGGTTCAACAGTAACCAGTGTGGGTACAACAGTAACCAGTGTGGGTACAACAGTAACCAGTGTGGGTACAGCAGTAACCAGTGTGGGTACAACAGTAACCAGTGTGGGTACAGCAGTAACCAGTGTGGGTACAGCAGTAACCAGTGTGGGTACAGCAGTAACCAGTGTGGGTACAACAGTAACCAGTGTGGGTACAGCAGTAACCAGTGTGGGTACAGCAGTAACCAGTGTGGGTACAACAGTAACCAGTGTGGGTACAGCAGTAACCAGTGTGGGTACAGCAGTACAGAGCAACCACAGACCCGACATTAACAAGTCTCTCTCAAAAGGAAGCCAAGAACTAAGGATGCCGAACACATGACTGCGTCCATTCAAACACACGAACTAATTTGAACTCCACAAACCTCCAACGGTCACCCTCGGAGCACAGGCGCCACAAGAGACCTCCAACGGTCACCCTTGGAGCACAGGCGCCACAAGAGACCTCCAACGGTCACCCTTGGAGCACAGGCGCCACCAGAGACCTCCAACGGTCACCCTTGGAGCACAGGCGCCACAAGAGACCTCCAACGGTCACCCTTGGAGCACAGGCGCCACCAGAGACCTCCAACGGTCACCCTTGGAGCACAGGCGCCACAAGAGACCTCCAACGGTCACCCTTGGAGCACAGGCCACCAGAGACCTCCAACGGTCACCCTTGGAGCACAGGCGCCAACGTTGTTGTTATAGATTCAGCTGCTCGGAACAAGTTCCCAGTAGCACGGGCTATGGTGAGCCCGTAACTTACCTGGCACAGGAGCGGGGCAAGAAGCACGGGCTATGGTGAGCCTCTCGACCTCCAACGATTGATTGATAAAGATTAAGCCACCCAAGAGGTGGCACGGGCATGAATAGCCCGTAAGACCTCCGTCCAGATTTACTACATAAACATCTCTGGTGCTGTCGATGAGTCACAATGACGGGGCTGAAGTATGTTGACCAGACCACACACTAGAAGGTGAAGGGACGACGACGTTTCAGTCCGTCCTGGACCATTCTCAAATCGATTGACTTGGGCCATTCTCAAGTCACAATCGACTTGAGAATGGTCCAGGACGGACCGAAACGTCGTCGTCGTCCCTTCACCTTCTAGTGGTCAATAGTGGTCTGGTCAACAATCCCTGGTGCTGTAGGTCAATAATTTCCACAGTATAAACAATTCCGGGAACTGACCGGCCATTAAGTCGACATCACAATAAATCTCTTTTACGGAGAGTCAAACTTCTGGAAATACTGCACTCAGAGACGAGTTGTTCAATGTTCTTTGAACCTTTTCAACATCGTAATCTCTGGGGTTCCGTTCACCCAGAGGTTCTGATGAACGGGGAATCTAGCGCTCATCCGTAAAGAACTTAGTCTAGCTGCTATCCTCTTTGGCCAGTGAAGACATGACAGGCTTCATATGCCAGTGGACTTCTCTAGGTCGGTGGGGCACCCCCCCCCCCCTAACGGGTAGAGGGGGGTGGTTCCGAGGATCAATGACCCATCACTCCGGTCCTTGACCAGAACTGATAACGCCTAATAACCTACGTTATTAGGCGGGTTACTACTAACCAACTAGGTGAATACGTTGAGCCAATAATCACTAGGGCCCAGGAAGCGTTAATATTGCGTTGGTTTCAATTCCCTCTAAACCACCGCATTTATTACGGTGGGGGGTCGATATCGTGAACAAAAATATGTCGTGTTCACTAAGGCTGGCCAATTTTCAACCCCTATAACCACGTCTGGGAAGGAGGGAGAGAGAGAGAGAGAAGAGAGAGAGAGAAGATTAAGCCACCCAAAAGGTGGCTTGGGCATGAATAGCCCGTAAGTGGTGGCCCTTTTGAGCCATTTCCAGTATCAATAGCTGATACTGGAGATCTGTGGAGGTGCGACTGCACCCTGCGTGACGGGAGATGTCTCCTGTGGAGAGAGAGAATTGTGAAGAGCCTATAAGAGGGCGTAGAGGAGCAAGGGAGGGGGGGGCGTAAGCACCAGGGAACACAAGAGGCTCTGCATTAATGATGTTTTAACACTGCGAGGCGGTGGGGGGAGGAGGTAGGGGGCGTCGGCCCCTTTGGCAGTCTTAGGTGTTGATCTGACCCTTTGATGCAAACTGCAGACGGAGATCCTACTACCCTGGCCCTGGCCCCATGGTGTGTGTAAACCTGCCCCCCCCCCCACACACACACATCCTAACTAAGCTACAGATTAGGCTAAGCTAGGCCTAGCCTACTAGGCTAGGCCTACCTGCGGTATTACTAAGCACCACGAGTCTACAGGTTTCCTCCTGTGGCCACGTATCAGCCGTAGCAGGAAAAGAAGTTGGTGTGGAATTTGACAGAACTGATGGTAATCCAGGCATCGAACCACACCATGGGAGGAATTCGTGATGAGAGGGAAAAAGCTAAATGCATGATACACAAGCACACGCGTATTTGATTGATGACCAGACCACACACTAGAAGGTGAAGGGACGACGACGTTTCGGTCCATCCTGGACCATTCTCAAGTCGATTGTGACTTGAGAATGGCCCAAGTCAATCGATTTGAGAATGGTCCAGGACGGACCGAAACGTCGTCGTCCCTTCACCTTCTAGTGTGTGGTCTGGTCAACATACTTTAGCCCCGTTATTGTGACTCATCGCCTGCCCACGTGTATTGACTACAAATCACACAGCTGATCAATTCTCCAGGTGGCGAACATCTGCATGTTGTTATCAAGCGTTATCTGGCCTTATCAGCTGACCGCGTCGCGGCCACATACCCTGCCAAGACATACCCACACACCAGGATATCATTTACGCCTGTATATCCTGTTATATTTTGACCTAAAATTCAATTTCTTGCTTTATTATGCACCCCATACCCATCCCGTGGTGTGAAGGATTACAGAGGCACATAATCGGTTCAGGAACTAAACCCCTCTAGTTCGTTTAGCTAAGCAAATAACAATCTTTTGACGCTAGTTACAAAATGATTAATGTTATATATACATGTGTACACATACTCATGTATACATGTACATAAAACTCGACATAATTCTCCACTATATGCGAATAGCTAGGAAACGTACTCACCTGACTCAGTAGAAATGAATAACGCAGACAACAGTCCGTTTTGTTTACACTGTTGCCTCTGATCCCTGGCTAGTCAACAGTATTCAACGGTACGACACCGACTCACTGAGATCCTGATAATCTCCAGACAAAGGGTTGCACAGTAAATCAAGCACTAGCACGTTGTAATGCTGAGGGCAGCGAGGGTGGACACAGCGGCGTCCTCAGCAGGCGTGGTGACAGTGGCGTGACAGTGGCTGACTGAGTGAGGAAGTAGCAGCAGCAGCAGCAGCAGCAGCAGCAGCAGCAGCAAGTGCCCACAGAGCCGTCCCCTCACCCCTGCCTGACCACCAACAGGAAGTGAATCACCCACGTAAAGTTCATGGGGCTAGACATGAGTAACGTACCACGCATCTTTCGCCATTGCTACACCTTACTCATCAGTGCAATTGCCTGACTCACCTCACTAGATTTACTTTATATACGCACCAATTTACTCACAATTCACCATCTGGTCACCACTTGGTCCGGGAGACATCTCCCGTCACGCAGGGTGCAGTCGCACCTCCACAGATCTCCAGTATCAGCTCTTGATACTGGTAATGGCTCAAAAGGGCCCCCACTTACGGGCTATTCATGCCCGTGCCACCTCTTGGGTGGCTTAATCTTCATCAATCAATCAATCTCACAATTACAGAAGTTACAGCCCCGCTCCTGTGCCAGGTTAAATCCACTAGGGGCTCACCATAGCCCGTGCTACTTGGAACGTTGTGTTCCCAGTAACTGAATCTTAAACAACAACAACTCACAATTAGCTTTGCCTTACGGAATGGCCAAGATTTGCTGCGGAGACGCAAGCATGTGGCCTTGAAGGAACCAATACGTTTGTCCTGCTGAGAGCGTGTTTGCATCATGTGAAGATGGCGTCATTCTGCTCCCTCTCTCCACATTAGTCATCACTGAATCACACACACACACAGCCGCTGAAGGGCCCACATTCTTTCTGCGTCTCGTCCACTCTCTCAATTATCCAGGGATCATATCCTGGAACACCGACCTGGATTATTTATCCAGGGATTATCCTGGAAGATGAGCACTGCAGTTCATGCGTGTCTTGGGCCATTCCGTCAGGTATGCTGAGATGTCCGGTTGGTCCACCACTCCTTTGGGGGCGTCTCAAGACACCGCCTCAAGCAGCAGCCCTTCAGACCATACAAGCCTGGCCCCCAGGCCGGGCTTGGAATGAGACGCTAACCCTCTCTGAACACTCTAGTTGAACAGGCTCTTAACTGGAAGAACACAACGCTCCTGTTCACTAAGTGGGCTGTATACTGCACCCGCAGGCGAGGCAGTAGAAGGCTCTCTCACACCAGTTGGGAAGAACACCATTAACTGTGGGTTCCCTCACCAACCAGCCTCGTTATCACCGCCTCCCGATAACCCACGAGAGATAAGGCACGAGTACGCGACGCGAGCACATTCTTATATCAAGGCTATCAGGAAGTACACGGCCGATAAGGGGAAAAGTTGGACTTTTCAGGAAACGGGCGAACTAGGTCGTTAACGTATCATCCGGTGAAGCCAACTGGCTATTACATACCCATTAGGGAAAACTCCTGTGTAGCAGATCCCATTAAACAATGGGATGTAAGATGCTCCCGGACGCAGGTTCGAATCCTCGTCACGGCCCTTGTGGATTTGTTCATGGGATGTAGGTTTTGAGAAAATATTGGGAGAAAGAATAGGGGGAAGGGGGATAATCCCCCCTTGTCCCTGCTCCCCACAAAAGGGACACCCCCCCTATTGGGGACTATGTAGACCCCCTACAGGTGTCCCCACTCCTCCTCCCAACACTGGGAACACCTTTTAGGGGAGGAAGGGGAAGGGGGGGGGGACAGGTGACCTTGCGGAAGTCCTCCCTCTCTACACAGGGGGAGGGAGTGTCCAATCTGTCCCCCCTCCCTCATCAGGACCCAGGTGTTGCCTCCCACATGTGTTTTCCTCACTCAACGGGAACACCTGCCACAGGTGTGCACACATGTGCCAGTCTACGGCTCATACAAACAAGGCTGGGTGTCGTCAACGGGTGTGGGGGGGCAGGCCAACGGGTGGGGGGCAGGCCAACGGGTGTGGGGGGCAGGCCAACGGGTGGGGGGGGCAGGCCAACGGGTGTGGGGGGGCAGGCCAACGGGTGTGGGGGGGCAGGCCAACGGGTGTGGGGGGGCAGGCCAACGGGTGTGGGGGGGCAGGCCAACGGGTGTGGGGTGTAACCAACGGGTGTGGGGTGTAACCAACGGGTGTGGGGTGTAACCAACAGGTGTGGGGTGTAACCAACAGGTGTGGGGTGTAACCAACAGGTGTGGGGTGTAACCAACGGGTGTGGGGTGTAACCAACAGGTGTGGGGTGTAACCAACGGGTGTGGGGTGTAACCAACAGGTGTGGGGCCAACGGGTAACCAACAGGTGTGGGGTGTGGGGTGTAACCAACGGGTGTGGGGTGTAACCAACAGGTGTGGGGTGTAACCAACGGGTGTGGGGTGTAACCAACAGGTGTGGGGTGTAACCAACAGGTGTGGGGTGTAACCAACAGGTGTGGGTTCACACCCTTTGAGAAGCAGTGCCTCTCACCGTGAAGCGCTGTGAGACACA